CCAGATGCTAACCTATATATGGGATTTGGAGGATAAACTGGGAAGGATGGAGAGATGTGTAATGGGAGAAAAGAATTATAGGATTTTGATAAACAGAGGCAGTGATGAGGTCGTTCTAAGCTGAGAAAACTGGATAAAGTGAGGCAGAGAAATGGGAAAGGTAACCTGCGTTTTAGAAATGGTCAGTAGTGTCATTTGACTGAACAATGAAATAAATGAAGTTCTAACCATGTGTTAGAACTTTTGTGCTCTTTATAGTACTTATTTAGGAGTATTATTATAAATTTGTTTTCAGATGATGAAACTGGCTCAGAGAGGTTAAATAATTTGCCCAAGTCATTACCTGACTAGAAAACAATAAAGCAAGACTTGAACTTCAGCAGTCTGGCTCCAGAGCCTGTACATATCACCCTTAGATCACAGACGTCATCAAAGATATAGTGTAAAATAAAGTTGAAACATTAGGTGGGGCCTGGACTCTAGACACCGAATGCTTGCCTAAGCACTCTGAGCTTCATTTAATAGGTAACAGTGTTAGGGGCAGGAGAAGAAACCACCTGAACAGAATTTTAAGTGTTATTATTAATAGAAGGAAGTGCACAAAATAACTTTGAGGTTAGTAAAAATAAGGGCCAACAGAGACCAGATAGTAATATATACACTGGAGGGACACAGGCAGGTTCAGACTTAGAAATAGGATTGATGGGGCATAAATAGGATTGATAGGACACTGTGATGATAGCTGCATAGAAAATGATACTTTCCTTTCCTCATACTACAGAGTCACAGTTAAAACCAGTCTACATTTTTGCATTCTGGCCATGAAGTTTTAACTATTTTCAAGGGAGAAAAATCCATTAATTAATGGTTTTATAATGTTATAAATAAAAGGAAGCTGGTAGTGATTGGGCATAGCAAAGTCATAGCTCCATATTCCTCCTTTTAGACTTTCTTTTTTTTCCTTCCTCTCTTCCTTCTTTTTCCTCCTTCCCTACCTCCTCCTGGTACTATTCATTCTTACTGATTGGCAACGTAGTAGAATACCATGTAGGAATATAATAGCAATTGGCTTTAAAATAAGTTTTTATAGTTTCAGTATTAAAAAAACAATAAGTATAAGGGAGTTGGTTAGAACTGCAGTACAGGCAAGCTTGTCTCCTGAGACACTTAA